CTCTCTCTCTCTCTCTGTGTGTGTGTGTGTGTGTGTGTGTGTGTGCCGGTCTGTAAAGATAGCAACGGAATATCACGGAAAGGTAAGAGTGCAGGGTCTCTCTCTCTCTCTCTCTCTCTCTCTCTCCCCCGGGTCTTTGGGTCTCGGTCCACTACTGTCCAGTGTACAAAAACGGGAAGTGGTACTTCGCTCCACTTACTGTCCAGTGTCCACTGTACATGTGCACAATGGCTTGGACAGTTTTGAGAAACCCCGTCGGAAATCTACTGTCCGTGAATGTACAGCTCCCAGCCTGCAAAATTCGTTTAGTGGAAAGTCCTTCAAGGGACTCACCGTGAGGACCCGGATTTGGACAGTGCACCTAGCGTCAGCGCGGACAAAATCCTTTGGACGCCCTGTCTTGTAGTTCTATCACTGTGTCAGTAGTGAACTCACGAATTTGAGAGGTGGACAGCGGACAGTAAGTGGAGCGATGTCGCATTTTCCACTGTCCCCTGTACAATTTTTCGCTCTGACAACTGTCCAAGAAATGTCCGAAAAATTGTACAGTGGACAGTAGTGGAGCGAGTCTCGCTGCACTACTCTACTTCGCGAAAATTCGGAGAGTTATGCATCGCTGCACTAACTCTACTTTAGAACCCCAAAAGAAATTCGGAGAGCTGTCAGAAACCACAAAAGAATTGCACTCTCCGACGCCGGAGAGTGCCCAGCCTGCAAAATCCGTTACTCGGATAGACCTTCGAAGGAACCACCGATTTGCTCCAAATCTGGAGAGGGAACCTTGAGTCTGGGCAGACAAACCGGGACTTCGTTTTGTACCCTCGATAGTTGTCCAGTCTGCATTTGTAGAGTTAGTGCAGCGATGACCCAAAATCCGAGAAATCGGAGAGTCTGATAACTCTCCGCGTACTCTCCGATTTCCCGGCGAGTGGAGAGTAGTGCAGCGAGACCCTAGGTTTGCAAGTTTGTGAGGATTGATATAGACTTTTTTTTTTTTTTTTTTTTTTTTTTTTTT